TAGCCAGTGACCCAATTAACAAGGCCCCAGTGCTGTCTTTGTCTCTTTCTTTTGTGGTTAAACTCTAGGACCATGTGCAGCTTGGCTCCCACCTACCTTGGGAGCCTGTCGGAGGCACCGCAGGATAGAAATTAATTGCCCTTAGTTTCTGTGTGACCCTGGGCAAGTCACCCAGTCCATGCCTGTTAACTCATGTGCAAATGGGATCAAAACGCCCTCCTACCTCAAAGTGTGTCATGGAGATGAAAGGAAATCATGTATGTTAACTGCCTAAAACCATGTTTGGGCAGGGGAGGAGTCTGATCAATGAACACAGTTACCAAACTTAGCAGTTGCTTGATAAACATTTCCTAAAAGGACAGTTGGGGACCTTAAAGTGAATCTCTTACAAGTTGTGTGACTTGAGTAAGTCACCTCTTCTCTCTAAGCCTAAATTGTAAAGTGGAGATAATTCTCACTGCTCAGGGAACTTGACTGAGGAACAAATGAGATAGAACTTATAAGATAAGCCCTGGCCGGTGCTGCTCAGTGGTTAGAGTGTCAGCCTGTGCACTGAAGGGTTGTGGGTTGGAGCCCTGGTCAAGGGCACATACCTGGGTTCCAGGTTCAATCCCTGGTTCCAGTCCAGGCCCATGCGGGAGACAACCAATTGATTTGTCTCTCTCACATCGATGTTTCTCTCTCTCCCCCCCTCCTTCCCTCTCTCCCTCCCTTCCATTCTGTCTAAAAACCAATGGAAAAAGTATCCTCAGGTAAGGATTAACAACGACAACAAAAAACTATAAGACAACCTAAAATATAATTACAAGGTAGGGGGCGGGACACAGAACACAAAATATTAATAGCTCTTGATGGCTCTGGGTATGAAGCACAACAAGTAGAAATCGTTTAGTCCTATCTAGCACTTAACTCACCCAGCAGCCTCCTCAGCCCCGTAGGACACAGCATCACTTCTGAAGAGAATGTCAACCCCCTTTGGGCACTGGCAATGGGTATCTGTGGTGCCCAGAAAACAGATGGCCTTTTTAAAAAAAAAATTGATTTTTAGACAGAGGGAGAGAAACATCAATTTGTTGTAATGCACTTTATTATAAACTCAATGGTTGATTCTTGGAGGGTAATGGACAAATCTGTCTACTTGGCATCTCTTTAGGGACTTGCTCTGCATCCTATGTAGGTTCCGTATAGATTCTGCGACAATCAGTTGGGTGCCTATGTCCAGTGAGGTGGCCCCTATCTCCCCCACTTCCCCTGCGTACTCTAGGTCTGTGCAACAAATACTCCATTGCCTTGGCCACTGACCAGTCCAGTGATGGCTGCATGACCTGTGCCAGGCCAGAGATTGTCAATTCTCTGGGATTGCCATGGGCACTAGGTAGGGACCCAGGAGTGACTCTTTACTTCGAAGAACTACAGGAATGTCGGTGGCTATCTTTGTAATCCTGCTGCAAGAACCTGCCCGAACATGAAGCTAATACAGGGGAGGCAGAGGAAAGATATGGAGGAAGAGACAAACTTTGATGACCCAATGTGGCCTCCTGGATCCAGCCATGCCTGAGGCCACAGCCACCCCTGGACTGTTGGCTTTATAGGTCAATCACTCCCCTTTGTCAGTGAGCCAGGATTCCACAGGCTTTCTCTTCTTTGCCATTGGGAAGGTCCGCTGATACAGCCTGGGTGTGAGAAAGGTACAACTTCTACCCCAGCGGTGGTCTGACTTGGAGCCAGTTCTGTGCTTGTGGGAGTGTTAACCCCACGTCCTTCCTCTATTTATGCCTTAAGTAAAGACTCCCACTTGGTTCTAGGCCACAAGTAGGCACTTTCTTGTTTGGCCCAAAGCCCCCTCCCCAGACCACTGGACTTTGAGACCTTTGCCTCATTTCTCCTACATTCTTTCTTGCTCCAGGCTCCTATAATTTGTGGTTTATTTGAATTATATCTATGGGCTAACCACTGAAGACACGTTTCTTTGTGAAGCTCGCCCTTCCATGAGGTGAGCTCTACACCATCACCCAGGACAGTCTCTCCAGTGGCTATGTGGCTACCCCAACCTAAAATGTCATTGCTTGAGCCTGGCTGGTGTGGCTCAGCGGTTGAGCATCGACCTAGGATCCAGGAGATCAAGGTTTGATTCCCAGTAAGGGCACATGCCCGGGTTGTGGGCTGGATCCCCAGCAGGGGCTGTGCAGGAGGCAGGCAATCAATGACTCTCATCATTGATGTTTTTATCTCTCTCTCCCTCTCCCCTCCTCTCTCTGAAAGCAAAAATATATTAAATAAATAAATAATAAATAAATAATAAAATATCATTGCTCGATACTCTTACAATAGAATGCATCCCACTAGGGACCAGGCACTACGCTATATGACTTATGTAATTACTGCATTTGATTCTCACAATAATGAGATAGATATTTGTATCCCTGTTTCCATATGTGGTAACTAAGACTCAGAGAGGCTAAGCAATTGACCTGAGGTCACACAGCTAGCATATGGGGGAAAGAGATAAATTCAGCTCTGATGTCAAAGCTCATAAACTGAACCACTATCCCAGAATATCTCATGGCAGAAAGGGGAGCCCAGGCCACCCCACCGCCACCCCCAATGGAAGACAATGTGTAGAGTGACCAAGGAAGGCATCCTAAAGCTGGTGTGCCCTCAGACTCCTCCAGCCACGAAGGTTGACCCAGAGCACACAGGAGTTGCCAGCTCAGCCGCTCCACCCTCTGCTACCTTTACCTCGAGCCCTGGGACATTGGGCGAGGTCCTGTGGCACATTTTCCATCTCCTCCTCCCCATGGAGCCACCCCAAAGCCCCCGTTCCTCATCCCCTGATGAGGGTACTCCACGGGTACTCCTACCTGGACAGCAGACAGGCCTCAGTACAGGGAGAGCCACTCCTGTCTGCTTTGGGGACCCTGCCAGGCATGGCTGCTAACCTTTCTGGAGGAGAACAGGGCTCTTCCAAAAGTCCCCTCACTATATTTTCCAGGGTACAATCGCCAAAATATGAGAACCCTATAACTGACCTTTCAGAGAAGGGCGAGAAGAGGACTACTGGGGGCTAGCAGGGACCCAGCTAACCACTTCCGCTAACCTTCAAGTACGTGGTCTGTGGTGTCTTACGTTGACTTTCAACTTCTAGAATCCTGCATGTCTTTAACTCCTTGGAAGGCAGGGACCTGGTCTTAAACCTCCACCCTGCCCTCCCAGGCCCTGCACCGGTTGAACACCAGTGGCTGATGCTAGCCCGGAGACCACCCCCAAGTCTGGGCCCTTCCTTCTGCATCTCTGTGTCTGAGGGTGACGTCCCCACTGAGGCAGGCCCCTAGGCCCGCAGCTGCGGCAGGCTGGAAACCCCAGAAAGGAGCACCCCGCAGGCCCAGCCCTCAGCTCCTGGGAGGCAGGCCGGCTTCTCCTGGGAGTGCTCCCCTGTGGGATTAAGCCCCAGCTGAAAAGCATGAACTGGGGACAAGCAGTATGGTAGGGCCTTTTAAAACTTTGCTTAAAATGCCATTTGGGGGCTTAGAAGAGTTTCATGATTATAAGAGAAGCAATATTCCTTTTGAGATGTCTCGTAATAACCAACCAGGAATGAAGTTCTGGAACTCACTTATTTTGAAGACCACATAAGGGCAGGGAGTGTATTTAATTAAAAGAAAAAGTCTCCCAGATATTTGGAGCATTCTTGAGCCCGCAGAAGTCTGCCACACGTGGAGCTTTACCCATGGACTTGGTTTAAGATTGAGAATGGATATAATCCACACACTTTCTCTTTTTTCGGGGGGGAGGGCAAGGTATAAACATCTAACTGTGATGAGAAATTAAATAACAAAGAGATGCCAGGTTATTTGAGAAAAGGGAAATTCTGAAAAGAACTGTGTTCATGAACTTGCTTCTGTTAAGGAACCATGGCTTTCCTGGGCAACTGGGGGCACCCTGGTGACAGGAGACGTTGACCTCATCGACACACCCGTCAGCTGCTGCCTTCGGCTGTAGGTCTGATCTCCCCTTCTTTCCTAACACATACATTTGCTGTGAGGCTAAACGATAAGCTTGCTGGTATCTTGGGAGGATCTTCACTCGGGCAGAGCGGCAGCTAAGTCACAGAGCGGGACCTTTGGAGTAAGGTCCCCTTCAAAGCGGTGGTCAGGGCAGTCGGCTTTTGAAGAGGGCTGCCCGCTGTTGGTGCTGCCGTCGCTGTCTGAGAGATAGGCCAGGTCCTCAGGTGGCTCCTGGGTGTAGGGGTCAGAGTGGATGCTCTTGAGGGCCAGGATCCGGTAGCGCTTCCTCCGGTTCAGCTTATAAATGCGAATCCGCTCTTTCTCTGCCTCGGGGTCGGCAAGAATGCCATCCCAGCGCAGGCTCTCGTTGACCCGGTTCGAAAGGTTCTCTTCTATTTCGGCAAAGTCGGGGAGACTTCCAGAGCAGGAGAAAGAAGGGGTGAGCTTGGTTGGCTCTTTGTCCTGCCTGTGTTCTTGCCTCAGGCCATGATCTTTGCTGGGACTTAAGACCTCCTGAAAAGATGAAGACAGCTGCTGATTCTTCAGGCTTCGGCTCTGATGTTTATCTGCCGAGCAGATGAGCAGTGTTAGCATTTGTGGTGATGCCTGCCCTCATCCTGCTCGGGAAAGATGCCAAACTCACCAAAGATATAACAGGGTGGGGAGTGGAGGGCCCTCCTTAGCTAGGGCTCAGGTGGCCAAGCCCACCAGCCTCGTACCCACTCCATATGCTGTTGGTCAAGTCATTTTGGGGAGGGGGGAACCATTTGTTGAGCATGTACTATGAGCCAGGCCCTCTGGATACAGGCTATCAGCCCTATTTTCGGGTGAGGAAACTGAGACTCCAAAAGTCTTAGCAACTTGCCAAAGTCACATAGCGGGTGGCAGGGCCAGGATGTGAATGCAGGCCTGACTCCCAGTGCCCTGTTCTTTCCACTGTGCCACGCTGCCCCCCACTTCACCTCTCCGCATGCTCACCGAGACACTTGGCAGTTCTGGGAGTCTATGACTCTACCCCCAGTCTAGACTTCTTTATGATGGAGAAATGGAGGGCAACAGGAAAACTTCCTGCATCTGAGTGCGGAAAGAAATATCAGGCCAAGCCAGGAAATACTCGTGCTGTGTGGCTGGTACTGATTCTTTTGTCCATTAATAAGCATTCCTGAATCACATAACACACATAAAGCAGTGTAAGCTGTGGTTCTCCCATCAGCTTGTCTTTCTTTGGGGGGAGAGAAAAATACCCCCGCCCCCAAAAAAAGAAAAACAAAAAAAAATTCTTTTAATCCTCTTGTGACATTTCTGTGCCTTTGTACTCCCCGAAAACGATTTGGTGTCCCCTGCTGACAGCATGAGGTACATGCCGCTGTAATTTCTAGTCAGAAGCTAAACCAAAAAGACAATAAATTTCCTAATTTGCTTTCGCCTACACACACAGGGCTTTTTGACCTAAACTCCAGAGTTGATCACTTGCCTTTTTATTACAATTCCACCTGAAGAAGTAATTATAATCTTCCTTCCCCAAACTTCAAGGTTGACATGGGGAAGGCTGTCACTCCTTCTGCCTCCAGCTTGCCAGGGGTCCCAGCTCTGCACACAAAGGACCAGAGCCCAGGGACTTGAACCCAGGACTAGCCACACTGGAGGTCGGGGCTTCTGTGCCAGGGTCAGTGAGAGCCACCTCCCAGGCAGCCGAAGCCCTGGAGGGGGACTACACAGGTGACACTGGAGACAGCATTCTATGTCACTGTTATTCCATCTCCATAAAGTGGGTGCTCAGTGCCTTTGTCAAGAAATTAAGGAGTTATATGAGAGGAGTTCAATGAGATGTAGGGGCTCCGTGGGTCTGTGGCAGGTGTTGGTGTGTGTGTCTGACGTGTCCTTGAGAGAAGTGCATGCATAGAGTTGTATGTGTACAGGAACTGCTTGGGAGGCGTATGTGTGTGTGTGTGCCTGGCGGGGTATCTGTGCTTTAGTTCTATTTGGTGGTTATATTGACATAGGGGGTGTTGTTGAGGGCATTTGGGATTATAAAAGTGTGCAGCAGTGATTGATGTGACGGTGTGATGGTGTGTGTGCAGTTGAAGGCTGGCCTTGGTGGACGGGGTCCCGGGACGACAGTCCATGCAGGGAGGACACTACTTTATGTGCATTAAGTGGGTATCCACATAACACCCAGAGGCCAGGCACCCCTGAGGAATGAGGGGGCAAAGGCGTCTCTGGGCAGAAGGCAGAAGTCTGTGTTTCTGCCTGTGAGGAGTGTCTGCCTCTAGTGCCTCAGTGTCCTTGGCTTGGGGAGTCCCTGTGAAGACTCTAGGAGGGCTTGAGATTTCCGTGGGGAAGGTAGGGAGGTTCAGGATTGCCATTCGGCTGAGGGGTTAGGAACTTGAGAGGGTGTCTGCAAAGTTGAGGTGCTGTGTGGGGCTGGGAGGCTCTGTGGGAATAATGCTGCGTATCTGGGGGGGGTGTCTCTGTTTGGGGTAGAGGGTCTCCATGGATGTTAAGAATTCTCGATGCAGGATTTGGGGTCTCTGTGCTCTTTGGGGCGCGGTCTGTGTGGACAGGGATGGTCTTTATGAGCAGGGACGGGGTGTCCCTGCGCAGCCGTAGGCGGTGTTTGTGGGGAGCGGGGGGGTACCTCTATTTGGGACTGGCGAGTTGCTGTTTCTGGTCTGAACTGGTCCCCGGGTAGATGGCGGGGGGGGAACCTCCATTTGGGACTGGCGAGTTTCTGCTTCTGGTCTGAACTGGTCCCCAGGTAGTTGGGGGGGG